CCACGTACACGCGGCCTGGCTGCAGCCCGGGCTGCTTGCACGCACACCTCCGGCTGGCGCTGGAGGAACTACGCCTATTTTGCAGGATTCCGCGGCCTGAGGTAGGGTGTGCTCCCCTGTCCCGCGGCATGAATGGTCCGGCCCGTATCAGCCTAGCTGCTGCTAGTTGCTGGTTGCTGGATGCACGCGCCGAGCACGCGTCGCTAGAGCCGGCTTCTAGAGCTGAGTACCCCGGCGCGGGGTCCCCGCAGTCAGAGCTGCCTGGGATCCCGGGTCCATGAGCCTTCCAGGCTGCAGATTAGGACCTTGGATGCACTGAGCTCCGGTCGAGTGGCCCAGACCCGGGGAAGGGGCGCCGATGGTCGTATCCGCAAGCCGAGATGCTCAGGTAAGATAACCCAAGGCTGCAGGGATCGGAGAATGTGGACAGGGCAGCAGCCCCCAGGAAGCAGAGTGGTTAAGCGCACAAGCTGGATTTCTCTCAGGTTCAAATTCCGCTTCCACTGTTGTAGCTTTTTAGGCGTGACCCGCACATGACTTCACCTTTTGAAGCCCCAGATTTGTGACCCGTAAAATGGATATAATCAAAGCTACTTCACGGTGCTGTTGAGGATTAAGTGAGACGATGCTTGGAAAGCTCACTGCGCGAGGTAGGCATGGGGTCCATGCTGGTCGCCATCACCCACCCCGCATGCGAACCCACAAATGCAGGGAACTGCCTCCCGCCCACACCCCGGGATTTGTTTCCTGGTTGGTGCCATCTCTCCTTCATATCCCAGTCATTCTGTAAATATGTGTCGAACGCACTGCTAGAAGTGCTTTTCAACTGATTCATTAAATGTTTGCCAGTAAGCACTCCTTTTCCCATGACAACTGGAAGAAGTCAAATTTCCAGAATGTTCCCGGGACTGGCAGCTCCCCTTGGAGGAGGGATGGGGTGGGGACTCCAGAGACTGCGCCTCCCCTGCACTGCCTTTGGCTCAGAGGTGCCTCCCTGACGCGCCTTTCGCAGGGAGACCCCGGAACAGGGTTTGGCTGGCCGAGCGCCCCCGCCGTCACCCAAGGCCACATGCAGCCTGACGGCCCCAGTACAGCCGTCCTTTCGTGAGATGCAGGCCCTCCACCCTCAGCACCGCTGCCGGGGCAGCTGCCGGCTCAAGGCCAGGGCTTCTTATGTGGATGAGTCTCTGTTTGGCAGCCCTGTGGGCACCCGGCCCACCGTACCAGGCTTTGACCCACCCTGGGTGCAGAAGACTGACATAACCAGAGCAGTGGGCGCCAGGGCCTTACAGAGCTCGCCAGGCAAGGGGACCTGTGAGACCACCCGCTCCGAGGGCAGCACCCCGGCCCTCATGCCGAGGAAGAAGAACAGATACAGGTAAGGGGGGGGGTCCCTTCCTCAGCACCTTCACCTGAGGTCCTCTTACAGCCCCACCTGCTGCTCACTTACTGTGGGACTCTGGCCAAGCACATTGACCTCTGAAGCTGCAACTGACTTGTGTGGAAAACAGGAAGAGAGACCCCTACAGAGCAGAAGCATAGGGCAAGGGAGTCCTACCGCGCTGGGCTCTCCGTCCGTGTGGTGGTGGTGACTATGATGTTGAATCCCCACCACAGAGAGGTAACCCGTGAAGTGATGGGGCCAAGGTGTTTCTAAATATTAGCAAGTCCTTTTGAGAAGGGGTCTGGCTGTTTCTTCATGAATCAATTAGAAAAAGTAAGAGCCAGTGCTATGGTTATTGTTAGTTAATTAGAATTCGATTATTTCAGATTAGTATCTGCCTGGAGTGGGGAGTGGTGGTGCATGCCTATAATCCCAGGAGGCTGAGGCAGGAGGATCTCAGTGAGTTCCAGGCCAGCCTGGCTACGTAGTGAGTTGAAGGACAACCTGGAAACCCCTCAAAAAAGAGGTGTCCAGTGAAGAGCCTCAGGGCTGTCTGCTGGCATTGTTCTCAGTGGCTTGGACAAAGAAGAAACCTTGTGTGGGGAGGGTGTACATAGGCTGTATGCAAACACTGCCGCATTTATACAAGGGGCTACAGATTTTGGTCCTTGCTGGTCCTCCAGGAACCAATGCCCTGGATGCCAAGGGATGCCTGGGACTCTCAGCAGCAAGTGACAGTAAATTTGCTCCAACTGACTTCTGCAACAAAAGGGCATTTAGAGTTCCTGTAACTCTCGTGACAATGGCCAGTCTCCATCTTAGTGCTGCTTGTCTTCCTCCTGCGAGTCCTCGGTCTCCAGGAGGATGAGATGGCTATAAGCACCTCTGGGCTGATACCCTGTCAGTTTAGGAAGGAGCAAGCCCAGGTGGGAAAACACATCTCTTTCTTAGTTTCATCAAAGATCCTAAGGCAGGGCTGGGTTTGGTAGAGCACTCCTGTAATCCAAGCACTCCAGAGGCTGAGGCAGGAGGATTGCCAGGAGTTCCAGGCCAGGCTGGGCCACATGGTAATTTCAAAGGTAGCCTGAACTATAAAGTAAGACCCTGTCTCACAAAACAAAAGCAACAAAGATCCTAAGGCAGGCTGTCATTGGACAGGCTTGTCTCGTGTGACCTTTCTTGAGCCAATCAGTATAGCCAGGAAGATAGAATATGCAAATTGGCCAGACATGGGGCACATGCCTGGTAGTGAGGTCTGGACGCTAAGGGACTGGACATTTCCCAGGGGAAAACAACAGAGGACTGTGGCCTTGCTGTGGGTGCCAGGCTGAGACACGGGGACGCTAAAGAGGGTGATGCTCTGCTTCTGTGGGTGTCAGGTTGGGGCTGGGACCCGGGTGCTGTTGAGTTCTGAGGGACCTTTGCGCCCAGCTCACCGCAGATGTTGCTGTTCCTCTGCCAGGCTGATCAGCCACACCCCGTCTTACTGTGATGAGTCGCTCTTTGGCTCCCATCCTGGGGGCACCAGCTGGGAGGCCTCTCGCCTGGCCAAGCAGGATGCAGTCAGGCTCCACAGCCTCTTCTGGACACCGCCCACCACGCCCAGAGGCAGTGACTCTCCCCGCCCCAGGGAGACCCCGCTGTGCCCTGTCCATCCTAGGGGCTCCTCCGTGACACAGCCCCGGCTGGCAGCTGACTCCCGAGGGTTGTCCCCGCGCCCCCTGAGGCGAGAGCGTTCCCATTCCCTCACCTGTCTGCATGTCCCCAGCACCGGTCACCCAGCCAGCAGTGCCCCCCACACAAATGGACCTCAGGACCCCAGGCCTCCCCGGGCAGGGGTGACCTTCCGGAGCCCTCTGGTGACCCCCAGGGCTCACTCAGTCAGTGCTTCAGTGCCAGCTACTCCCCAGCGAGGCAGGGTCCCCCAGAATCCAAAGCCCCCCTGGAAGTGAGCTGCTTTCACAGCTTTGTCTGGGGGATCATGAGGAGGGACTCAGCCCTGGCGGGGCCCTTCATGGGCAGAGGACGCCTGCAGGACCCCAAGGCATGGATGGGCAGTACCTCCTTTTATCCTGACAGTCGCTTGCTCCCTGCCCTGTCTGTGGGCTGCCCCTTGAGACAGCCCCTCGAGACAGCCCCTCTGGCCGGCCCCAGCCATACTAGGAATCAGTGCCAATCCAGGGCCTCCGCCTCACGCTGTCCAGTGGCCACGTGTGACTTACCAGCCAGGGGGAGGTCCTTCCCACCTCCCTCCCTCCAGGCCCGCTTCCTGCTCAGGACCCAGGGTCCTCCTGAATCTGGAGGCATTAGAGGGGTTTTCTTTGAAATTTGTGTATTTATTTCCACATATTAAATACATGTGTAGCTCATCAAATCCTTGAGTGTTGCTGATTTTGTTTGCCCTTAGTAGGCCATGGTTAGGCTGCACTCACTGCCTGATTGAAGGATCCCTCTCAGACTGCTGGACTCACAGTGATTCTCCTGCCTCAGCCTCCCGAGTGCTGGGATTACAGGTGTTTCCTGCCATATGCAGCTAATGCACTTTGTTTTTTGGTTTTTTTGTTATTGTTGTTGTTGTTTTTTTGAGACAGGGTCTCACTCATATAGTGAGACTGACCTGGATCTCACTGTGTAGCCCAGGCTGGTCTCGAACTCACAGTGATCCTCCTGCATCAGCCTCCTGAGTGCTGGGATTGCAGGCGTGCACCGCCACGCCTGGCCAGCTAATGCACTTTGAATGCGTTTCCCCACTGGTTTTAGTAGGTCCCCCCACAATACCTCTTTCCTCCCATCTGTAGATGCTCTGAGGGTAGTTGGCACAGGCTGTGGTGTGGGGGTGGCACTTGGGTGGTGGGCATTGCGTCGGCCTGCGGACGATGCCATCTAAGGGCTATGAGGCTCTGGGCCCTGCTGCCCTCTGGGACTCACCTGTCACAGCCGTCCCAGCTTTGGGCAGGAACAGAAGGGGCTGCAGCCAGCACCTTGGCGCCACCTGAGTCTACCCCAGAGTTGGCTGCCCACAGCCCGGGGCAGAGAAAGAAACGCTCATTGGTAGTGTTCCCTTGAATGTAATTCAAAGCTTTGAATTCTTTTAATTTGAAAAGCATCGCGGAAGCCCTGAACCCGGGCTCTGCTGACCTGGGCCCCGCTGGGCGGGGAGGGCTCACTTCCTGCCCTTGCCCTTGCCCTTGCCCGTGCTCTTGCCCCTGCCGCGCTTCTTCTTGGAGCGCAGCATGGAGCGCACCAGGTAGCCCTTCCACACGGCCTGGATGAGCGCGGCCGCCCGCACCATGCGCAGCATCTCGCGCTCTGCCTCCAGCCTCTTCTGGGAGCTGACCTCGCGCTCGGCCTGGATCTGGCTGAACTCCTCAACCAGCACCTGGTGCCGCCGCCTCAGCTCCTCCAGCTGCTGCTTCTCCTCCTTGTGAACTGTCCGAAGGTCCTCGAACTCCTCCTGGTGGGGTGGCGGCGGGGCTCAGGGCGCCCCCCACACCCCCACCTACCCAGGTGGACACAGGGGACTTGGGAGCCCTGCCTGCCCCGGGGAGAACCCAGCAGAACTCACTCGGGACAAGGAAAGAGCCCGGATGCGAGGGCTGACAGCTGAGTCGCAGCCCCTGAAGGGCCTTTGTCACCGATAAGCCTGTTCCTTCTCATCCCAGACAACTCCAAAGCCTGGGATCAAATGGCCTGATGGACATAATGTTCTGGACGAGGGACTCAGTGCGCAGAGAGGACGCGGGAGTGGCCACTGTGGCCAAGGAAGCAGTGGGTCTCGCAGAAACCCAGGGACAGACTGTGTCCCCGGCTGCTGTCTCAGCACAGCTCCTGCTGTCCCACCTTCCTGCCCTCCCTGTCCCCTCCCACTAACACCCAGCAATCATCTCCCAGAAGCTGAGCGCTTTGGAGCACGTGGCGCTGGGTGGACAGGGTCCCTGCCAGCCAGGAGCCCACAGCCCTTACTGGATTCTGTTTGTGGCGCCAGGCAGAGGTGGAACCCAGGGCCTTGCACACAGCTTCGCTCTGCCACTGAGCCGCACTCCAGCCTAACCCTCATCGGACGCAGAGAAACAAGAGCCCGGCCTGCAGAGCCCCCCAGGCAGTGTGCTGGGACCGTGGGTCACCAGGGGTACCTGGAGCGGGGCCTGGGTTCCTGTTTGTAGGCCACCTCTCCTGAGTACAGCCACTGCCCCAGCTCCCACCGTGGCCCGAGACAGAGACTGCTGCCTCGCTTGACCAGAGAGGGCCTGTCCTGAGGCCACACAGCTGGTAGGTGGCACAGGATTGGCACCTTTGAGGATAACAGAGACTTTGTTTCCCCCACACCTGGACCCCCTCGGCCGGAGGGACCTGTGCTGGAGGAGCAGAGCCAGGCAGAGAGCCTGAGCGAGGTCCATGGAGACTCACAGCTGCTGCCCTTCCCTCCCACTCTTCACCTGCAGCCCAGCTGGGACACCCTGGGCTACTGCAGGGCCCCAGAGGAGGCCAGGAATGTGGCCCAGATCCTGGACACGAGGCTTCTCCCAAGCCTCCAGGGTCTTGGAAAAGCATGAGAAAGAGACTTAGCAACAAATACCTGCTTTTCACTCATCTCTGTGTCGTATTTCTGGATCCAGTTCTCAATTTCTGTCTCCACTTTATATTTTTTCTAAAAAAAAAAATCCAAACAGTTGTTGTCTGATGGGGTACTAGGAACAGTGACCAGCCCAGAGCACTGTGTATCACAGTGCTGGCAGAATTCTCAGTTCCCCATTTCACAGATGAGGAGACTGAGACAGACATGATAACTCATTTGCCCAAGGTAATAGAAGTAGTAGGTAGTGGAGCTTGGATTTAAGTCAGCAGTTCGACTCCAGAACATTCTAGGCAGAAGGAGTGACATGTGTAAAGGTCCTGAGGTGGGAACAGGGTGGTGATGTTTAAAGAACAGAAATCTGCTGGGCATAGTGGTGCACACCTGTAACTCAGCACTTGCCAGGCAGAGGCAGGAGGGGTCACTGTGATTTCAAGGCCAGCCTGGGCTACATAGCAAGACTCTGTCTAAAATGAAGGAAAAGAGGGGCCGGGGATTTAGCTCAGTGGTTCTGCCACTTACCTCAAATAAAAATAAATAAATGAAAGGAAGGGAAGGAATGGAGGGAGGGAGAGAAATCAGCCAGTGTGGTTAGAATGGTGTGACCAGGCTGGATTGGTCCTTGATGAGGTCCAAGTGAGAGTCTGTCACTGACAACAGGTCAGCAGGAGACTTTAGATTCCTAGGTAAGGAAGAGGGAAAGGCATTGCATGAATTTGGGTGTGGTAAGGACAGACATGAGCTAATTTTGTTTTGAAAAGATCAGCTCTGCAACTTGTATGTTTATCAACACATGAATGGATAAAGAAAATGTGAGATATATATGAGAGAGATATATAATGGCATATTACAGAGCCAGGAAAAAGGATACATTAGAGTCATTTGTAGGAAAATGGGTGCGCCTTGAGACCATAACGCTAAGTGAAATAAATCAGACATACGCGAAAGGTTAAATAGCACATAGATTCTCTTATATGAGAAACCCAAAGTATACATAATTTTAAAAGCCAAATATAAGGTAGATGATAGCAAACAAGGAGATAGACTTTGTGGAAACCGGAAGGGAAGGGGGAAGACATGAGGGAGGGGAGGGGAAGAGGAAGTAAAATGGATCAAGTTGATACGTTGCTGGCTGTGGTGGCAACCCCTATAATCTCAGCACTTGGAAGGCTGAGGCAAGAGGCTTGCCATGAGTTTCAGGCCAGCCTGGACTGCATGGTGAGACCCTGCCACAGAGCTGGGGTTCTCCCTCCGTGGTGGCTGCTTCAGGGCTCTGATCCCCAGCACTGCCCACCAGGATGAGCTGGGTATCTCCGCCTTCCCTCTGGGAGAGGGGCGGTGACTTCCACCAGAAGCTCAAAAAAAGGCCTGCAACGCCCCTGGGGAGGGAAAAATCGGGAAGCTGGACGTGAGCTGGTCCTGGTCCGGCCCAGGTGACAGCAGAGCTGGGAAGTGAGGAGCCGCTGTCCCTGAGCGCCGACTGCACCCGCCCCTCACCTCCATGCCCACTGTCGCGGTGCCCCGTTCTCACGGGTGGAAGTTCAGTCTGCCTGAGTTTCATGGCCTCCAAGCCGGTGGGGACTGAAGGCGCCGCAGGTCAGGGGCTGTGCTGCGGCAACGCTTTCTGCCCCTCCTGCCCGGGCTCTGGCTTCCGCGCCTGGGCAGCCCCGCTCTGCCCAGCCCCGCGTCACCTCCTCACCTTGCGCAGCGCCTGCTCTGCCTCGCGGTTCTCCGACACCAGGCTGTGGTATTGCGAGCTCAGCGTCAGGATCTCCTGCTGCGTCTTGGCCATCCTGGCCTGCGAGGCTCGGAAGTCGGCCTTCTGCTGCTTCTCTGCATCCTGCTTCATGCGCAGCAGGCTGTGCTCCGAGAGTTTGAGCACCTGGTGCAGGTGTTTCTTCAGCTCCTGGATCACGAAGTTCTCCTTCTCCACCTGGCCAGCAGGAGATGGCTCCATCAGCCCCCGCCCGGTCACCCTCCACTGCCACCGCACCCAGTTCCACCCTCAACCTGCCTGGCAGGGGTCAGCGACTGCCGACCGCAGAGGGGAAACCGAGGCTCCAGGAGGCAAGGACAGTCTGGGGGTGTGAAGCCAAGTGTGTCGGTGCAGAACCGGTGTTCCTGGCCACCCTTACAGGTCTGGGGCAGCCTCATACCCCCAGTCACAGCGGGAGGGCCTAGTCGGCAGAGGCTTGGCAGGAAGCAGGAAGGTGTGGGTCCCACACGGACTACAGGGGCACCCGGGGCTGTTCCTTCTGGCCAGAACCTGGCTTGTGACTGGCTTGGGCTGATTCTAAACAGGAATGGGGATGGAGGATGGTACTGTTTTGTTCTTTCTTCTGGTACTGAGCATTGAACTCAGCACCTTTGCACTGAGCTACATCCCCAGCCATTTTTATTTTTTAAGATAAGGTCTTGCGAAGTTGCACAGTTTGGGCTCAAACTTGTGATCTTCCTGCCTGAGACTCCTGAAGGTTGGGGTTACAGGTGTGTGCCACCCCACCTGGCTTGAGGATGGCACCATTTTATAAGCAGGCTTCCCAAGGACACTGTGACCTGTCTGAACACCCTGGAGCTGTGTCTGGCATCAGCAGGCAATGGGGCTTGGGGGCTCTGAACTCACTTCCTGTGCTGTCCTGTGAGTGGGGCTCTGTGCGCAGGTTCTGGGTCTCAGCTTGGGCGGGATCCTTAGTGCTCAGAGCTTTTCTTGCCGAATCCCACAATACCCTGACTACTGTCACCCCTCATTCTACACTGAGGCTCAGTGACATGATGAACTTTGCCCATCTGGAAAGAACAGTCCAACTGGAAGAGCCCAAGCCTCCAGCCACAGCCTTCAACCTGTCCTAGACGATGTCCCCTCCCTGGGTCAGCACCCTGCGGACTGTCATCTGCCCACTCCATAAACATGTCACACCCCTCCTGTGCTGGGCTCACTGGGGATGCACAGCAGGCCAGCAGGACAAGCCCCTGTTCTCTTGTCAGGGAGCCAGACCTAAATCTAATAATACACTGCTGAGCATGGGGGAGCACGCCTGTAACCCCAGCACTCTGGGAAGCTGAGGCAGCAGGATTGTAAGTTTGAGTGCAGCATGGGCAACTTACCGAGCCCTGTCTCAAAAATAAAAAGGGCTGGAGATGTAGTTCAGTGCACAGGCTCTGAGTTGAAGCTCCAGTAACACACACACAAACACACACACACACACACACACACACACACACACACACACACACACTGACACAAATATTTATCAGCAAACTCTGTCTCAGGGAGAACTACGAAGGGAGGGAGGGAGGGTGATGCATAGCTTCCCAGGGCCTTGCATCGCTCCTCTGGTGCAATGAAGATGGAAGAGCCTGTGGCCACCCGGGCCCTCTACCAGCCCTGACCTGCCGTCCCCCAAGGCTGTGGAGCCGGGGGTTTGGCTGGGACTACCTTTCCCAGCGTCCCTCTGTGCCGGGTGTGACCTAGACACCCACGGAAATGCTGCCTGCAGCCTCCAGGTGGCGCCCTCGCAGGCCTACAGTTAAATAAGAGTCCCACGGTGGGGACAGCAGAGAAGCCAAGTGAGAGAACCCAGACTCGAGACATCGTCAGACACAGGGCTGCCCACCAGTGCCAGCCTTTTCATTACAGAGACACACATTTAAGGCAAAACACACAGTATGTGTCTGTGGTTCTTATCAGGCTGGAGGATGGGTTACCATATCCCTTAAAAATTCTTCTGGCGGGCTGGAGGTAGCTCAGTTTCATCCCTGGCTCTGAAAAAAAATCGAGTGCTTCCACCCCTCCGGCTTGCCCCTTGCTCTCAGAACAAAGATCAAGTCCGCTGATAGGACACAAGGCCCTGTGGGGTCCGTCCCTGCCCTCTCCTCAGCACCATCTCTCTCCTTCCTTTTGCTCCCCAACATGCTGGGGTTTTGTTTGTTTATGAGAAGCTGGGGATGGAAGCCAGCGGGTGCTCTACCACTGAGCTACATCTCTAGGCCTTTTTATTTTTATTTCGAGACAGGGTTTTTTGCTAAGTTGTCCGGCCTGGGCTTCACCTTAGGATCCTCCTGCCTCAGCCTCCCAGAGCTCTCAGGTTACAGGCATGTGCCACCACAGCCGGCTGTAAATAAAGTTTTCCTGGAACACGGCCATATTTACATATTATTTATAGCTGCTTTCACTGGGTAACAGCAGGGTTCCGTGTGTAGTTCACCATGGGACCCACCGAGGCTAATGTAGTCTACATGGTCCTCTGTAGAATACAGAGTCTCGTCAAGTCCTGGCCTGGCCCTCTTGCCTGATTCACTCCCGTTCAGTCTTCATGCCTTGGCTTTAGTGTCCCTAACCTTTAGGGTCCCCATTCCGTTGTCCTGTATCATTCTAACACCCTGTACTTACCCTTTATTATACTTCTCAGAACTGTAATTAAGTGAGTTAATACCCACCTCTTGGACTGTGACCTCTGTGAGGCTGAAAGCACATGGGCTTATTATAAGACCTGTCACCCAGGAAGTGCTCCGAACAACCTTTGTGGGGCAATCGGATGGAACAGAGCTATCTCAATCACGGAAAAATAACAATTCCCAACAACCACCAGATATGTGGGCCAGCTCCACGCAGGACTGGACCAGTGCTGGGAGCCGTACCTCCGTGTCCCTGTTCTTCAGCCTCGCCGCTAGTTCTTTCTCGAGCATATCGATGGCCTCCTGGTTCCTCTGGTTCCGTCTGCTGATGTCCTGCAGGAACTGGGCCTTCTCCCGTGCCTGCATGGGGCTGGTGAGGAGCTTCTCGAACAGGAAGCCCCGCAGCTCCACCAGGCTCTCCAGGAAGCACTGGGCCCCCACGCTTCGGCGCAGTGCCTGCATCTGCAGGAGCTTGGTGGCCTGGGGGTCACTGAGCAGGACCCTCAGGATGTTCTTGGTGGAGTCCCTGATCTGCTGCGTGAGAGGCGGGAGGCTGGCTTTGCGCAGCTCCATGGAGTGGCGGCGGTCGCAGAGCCAGGCCTCCTCGGCCTCCTCCTCCTCTTCCTGCAGCCGCCGCGCTTTTTCCTGCAGGTCACCCACGCCCTCCAGCAGGGCCTGGCACAGGGCCCCGTGCTCCCTCAGTGCCCCCAAGAGGTCCTCGCGCACCCCCGCCAGGGCCTCCAGCTGGCTGGCCGCGTCCCACAGCAGGGTGACCAGCTCCACCTTGGAGATGGCCTCGTCCAGGACGGACATGATCCTCTTGGCCTCGATGGTGGCGAGTTTGGACTTTGAGGGGACCAAGGCCTTCAGTGGTTCGGCCGGCTTTGGAGACAGCTCTGCCTTCAGCGGGATTCGGCTGACGTCAGGGACTTGGCAGAGCGGGGCCACGGCGAGGATGTCCACGGCCATGTTGGGAGCAGCCGGATCTCTGTGCACCTTCTTGATGCTCTCTGTCCCCGGCGACCCTGTACAGGAAGGAAAGGGCATGAGCGCCACGCTGACGGGCCTGGGCCCACACGGTTGACAGTGGCAGTCATCTGTGGCACGCTGGCTCTCAGTCCCAGCCTTTCCCTGAGAGCATTTAGCTTGGTGACAGTATTTGGGCCACCACGGAAGGGGGACCAAGGGTGCAGGTGGGTCCCAGGCGCAGGTGCCAGGCAGGAAGAGGACGGATTTATGATGTGGGAGGCCAGGGCCACCTTTCTGCCCTCCCTGCACTGGCCCCACCCGAGGATTTATGTATAGGGATCGGGTTACGTGGGCAATGGAAGAGGTGACAGGCTGACCCGCCCTGGGAAGACGAAGTCACCCAGCAACTGTCAGAGCCAGGAAGCCACCACCTACGGAGCGGAGCTGGAGGTGGGAAGCTGGGGGCTGCCTGACCCCAAGCCAGCAGGGTGGACACACCCAGGTTCTCCTTCCTTTTGTCCTCTGCTCTGTCGGTGCCTTCTGTTGGCTGGAGCCAAGGGACAAAGGAGCCAGGGCCTTGCAGCCAGCAGAGACCAGCAGGACAGGAGGGGGCAGACAGGATGAGGAACAGCATATTGTCACTGATTTTTGAGTGTTGATTTAAAAAAGTGGTGGGGGAGCTTTGCATGGTGGTGCACACCTGTAATCCTAGCATTTGGGAGGCTGAGGCAGGAGGATCACCATGAGTTTGAGGCAGCTGGGGCTGCATAGTTTAAGGCCAGCCTGGACTACACAGCAAGATCCTGTGTCAAAAATTTTTTAAAAAAATTCACCAAAATTTCAGTGCTGCACCCTGGATTGGATCCTGGAATAGCAAAATGACATCAGTGGGACAACCGGAGAAATCATGCACACTGAGCAGAGCTGTAGCTGCCTTGATTTACCAGGGGTGACCACAGACCGTGTTTTTACAAGATGTGAACGTTAGGGGGCACTGAGTGGGGGGCATACAGAACTCGGGCTGTGCTGGCAGTTTTTCTGTAACTACAATCATGAAATAATAAGCTCATTAAAAAGACGACTTCAGAAAAATCCACAGTGACACAAATCATGGGTTTATGTGGGCTCCGGAGCACACGTCGAGCCGAAGCTTTGTGGGAGCCCCTCCTTTGGGCACCAGTCCTTGCTGGTGACTCTGGCCGGTTATTTAGTCCCCACAGCCGGGGCTCCCTCGGATGTAAAACAGGAATCCACTCCCAGCACAGGTGCCGGACGATGAACGCTCAGTAAATACTGACTGCCTGCCCAGGGAGACAGCAGCCTCAACTTGGGGACTGGTTTTCGATGCACCTGTGGATTCCCAACAGCTCAGGATCAGGGACTCCTAATGCCACCCCACCTCAGCCTGCCCTTCTCCGTCCCTGTCCCCTCGTGAGGCACCGCCATCAACGTCTAATTCTTTAGCATCCATCTTTCTCAGGGAAAGCAGGGGTTTCTCCACTTTGAGCACCGCTTTTGCCACAGGGCTGAAAAACCAGCCATCACCCTGGAGAGACACCTGCTGCCACCACGTATAACCTGCTTGTGTCGACCTGACCAGCTTGGGAGCTACCTAGGCACTGGTGGGCTCCTTTGTGGTCAGGGAGGTGTGACCTACGGGGACAATAGCTGGTCCTTGCCCTCTTCTCTGACTTGCTCTGTTTCCTGGGCGCCATAAACTAAGCAGCTGCTCCACTACATCTTTCTGCCATGATATTCCTGCCACGGAGCCAGCTCTCCACGGACTGTATCCCCTGAAACTGAGAGCTAAACTAACCCTCTCTTCCTGTAAGCTGCAGGTATTGGGTATTGTGTCTCGGCAACAGGAAACCTGAGTTGTACAGTTACTCATGCCACTTTTAGTTTCACTGTGGATGTGAGGAATGATTTGTTTACGTTTATTTGTTATTTTTAGATAGGGTCTCGCTATGTGTTTCGGGCTGGTCTTGAACTCACTATGTAGCTCAGGTTGCCCTTGAACATTAGCAATCCTCCTGCCTCAGCCTCCTGAGTGCTGGGATTACAGGTGTGGGTCACCACTCCTGGCTTGAGAAATGTTTTAAAGAAAGAACCACCAGGGTTGAACGAATGACAAAGAGTTCTCAGGTGGGTGACCAGGAGAGACGGGTGGGGCCCTTGGGAATCCCAGCCAATGGGGACAGGAAGTTTGGATGGAGGATGAAGAGTTCCTGGAGTGCGCAGTGGGCAGTGGCATCTTGGCCTTGTGTGACCCATTTCCTCTATGGGAAGTGACAGCACCCGGTTTTCCTTTGAGGAATGCTTGCTTTCTCCTCTCCTCCAAAGCCCAGGTGCTGAGCACTTAGTTCCCAGCCTGGGGGCTATTGGGAGGGGGTGGGACCGTTAGGAGAAGGAGCCGACTAGAGAGGAGTATGTGCTTTGGGAGCCGAGTCTGTGAGGGGGATATTGGGACCCTGACCCACATTCCTGGCCACCACAAGGTGAGCGATTTCCTCTATGAGCTTCCGCCATGACGCTTGTGGTGTACCACAGGGCCGAAGCCACGGAGCCAGCTGACCATGGACGGAGGCCCTGAGGCCGTGAGCCCCCTTCTGAGATGTTGGCCTCCGGTACTCTGTCACAGCAGTCCAGGTGACACTGTCAGGTGAGGAGCTCTGCGTGCTTTCTCCGGAAGAAGGGACACACACACACACACACACACACACACACACACACACACGGGAACGCTTCCGGCCATCCCTCAGGGTCCTCTTACCCAGATGCCCGGAACGTTTTGGCTTCTGTGCATTCTGAGGCTGGCTCTTCGGCGTTCCCTTCATCCTTTCGCTTAGCCAGGCTCAGCTTCTGTTGCTTACAATCAGGGACCTGAGCTGATGAAATATCATGGGCCACTGCAACCTGTGAGCGGAGGGTCTGGTATGGAAATGGAAACGCAATCC